AAAATGGGATTCTGGAAATTCCAAAATTGTTATAGCTGCTGATACGAAATCTTGTTCTAGAATCTCCTAGCTTATGAGCATTAATTGCAGTACCAGATATTCGAATGACTACATTGTACTTATGAATCACCTTGTTCGCACTCGAAAGATGAGGAATACTCATTCAAAATGGAGTTATTGAGATTATATCTGGGGTAAAGAAGGAGGACAGCTGTTTTTCAGAAGCTTGGCCAAGAGATTTTTACAAAGACTGCGTCGTTTTACTATACAGATCTTGTTGATCAACTAAACGCCTACTGTAGAACCCCGTGGAACAAGTGGAGGCGGCCTTGAAACAAAATTATTTCAACACTCCATGGCTTCTACTCTGTCATTGCAGCTGTAATTCTTCTCGTTCCACCTTCATACAGCAGTTTTGTTCTGTCATTGCGTTGTAGCTATTTCGAGATACCTTGCAAGGATTTCATTTATATGCCAGTTTAATATGAGAATTAATTAGAGAGGATGATTGTGTAAAATGGCTGCTTGTTTATTTTTACCACTGTGTATGATTTTACAAATTTCTGAGTGATGAATTGCTTTACGCTTTTGTGGGAGAGGTGAAGCTTGGTTAAGAATGTATACATACGCCTTCATTTATTTGATATTAGAATAAAAATGGGTAGCTGAAAATAGTTATTGGAACAGAAGTTCTGTTTAAAGTTTAATTAATGAATTTCCTGGTTTTCGAGCATTACACTGCAACAACAAATTAGTTCAATCACTCAGTTATGTACCTCATTTCAAGAGCTCTGCACCAAATGGTTCGAGGTATGTGAAAGGAAAGAATCAAAATGAAGTTAACTAAACGAAAGAAAATCATTGGTGCAGGAAATTTTGAAAATTCTTTTAATTTCATTAGTGCAGATAAATGAATTGGAATTACTTGAAAAGAATTATTGATCATTGATAAGATAGAAATATGATTTCTTTGAAATTAGCACAGAGTTTTGGGATAAACAAAAATTAACCCTTAAATATAATTTCAGGAAAATGATTTATCGGATTAAATTGGTCACTATTCAGTGAGAAAAGTATAGATATGGAATTCTTTTACTGTGAAACTATCTTGGATTCAGGCCTGTGTCTTAATAAAGGTTTGACTGGGTAATTTTTGAGATTTTAGGATTCGTTAGTTTAAACTAAAGCTGTGTTTTTATTGTGTTGCAGTGGAAGTCTGATGAGACTTTTGTCTCAATCAAACACTGAAATTGAATCCAAGTTTCTTTCAGTGTTGTGGTTAAACATTTAGCAATGAATGACAATGGTGGCGCCAAGTTGACAGGAATACGACAGATGGTTAAGCTGAAGAAAATCCTCCAAAAGTGGCAATCTGTATCTCGTAGCCCCAAATCAAGCAACTCTCATTCTAGTCCAAGGTGGGGAAATTTCACCAGTAATTAACAAATGCTGACAAATTTATGTGTTGCGATTCAGATGAGGATATAAAAAGTGGGGTAATTTCAGATTTTTTAATTACGAATGTCTAAGTTAGCCTTAATTGCTCGTCAAAATGTCCGTTAGTACACAAAATTGTCATGTCAGCGATTATTTCCAGAAAAAATGACATGTCATCAATATTTAACGCCGTAAAAAAAAAATATAAAAGTTTGATACCTTTAATAAGAAACTTAAAGTCCGGTACCTTCAATAGAAAGAATTGATAGTTTGGTACTTAACAGAAAAAAAATAGTTGGTTCCCTTCAATAGGAAAAAAGTATATAGGGTACCTTCTAATGTAATTAAGCCTTCTATCTTCATCAAGAACTTCTACTTCACCTATCGTATCCTCCTATGATGACTTCAATAACTTCTTCCTCCACAAGTGAAACAATTCTTTGATTTGGATAATCAGAAGTGACATCTTCAAAACTTTGACACTTGAAAATTTTCTTGAAGTGACTTAAGAGTACGCCTAGAATCACCCTCTTTATCATTTCTATAAGGAGACTTGAAAGAGTTTACTTTAGGATTTGAAAGGGGTACTGAGCTTTGTTTCCCATGGCTTGTTATAGTCTCCCTCTGTCTAGTGGAATTTATATGTTCTTTCATGCACGCTGCTTCTCAACCTTATCATTAGTTGATAATATCAATCAGACTCCTATGTTGTACTCATATGACATCCGCAATCTCCAGTGTTAAAACCTCCCAATAAAGGTCATAGTTTGCTCTTCAGGTTCATGATATCGCACTTCAGAAGAATTGCTAGATGTGCAAAATACCCTAGCAACCAAAAATGTTAAACTTAACAAAAATAGCCCTACCCACCCCAACCTACTGACAACCAGCCACCACTGTGGGCAGTCGCCAGCAATCCACAGGTCTGTCGTGATGCCGATAGTGCCATAACTTCATATTTTAGATCTAGTGTAACTAGAACGTCATTCCACCGTGCCATATGATCGTGTAAGACCACTGTACCGTCATTCCACCATGCGGAACAATCACATCCAGATGTTCTTCTAAATCTTCTTAAATTTCTAGAAGAGTGAACTACCTTTGAAACGATGTCGTGCAGACTTCTTTAGATATGAACGTTCATTCCACCACAAGGAACAATCATTGCAATTTTGATCTTTGAGTTTTGACCTTGACCTTTGGATTAATTCACGAGCGCGAAGTGTTTTGAATTTGAATTATCTTGACTTTTGAACTTAGGCGCATGGTATTGCAAGTGCCACTTGAAATTGGCAACGTGTCTAACGACCAAGAGGAACGATGTCGTGCAATGTTGCACGACCACTTTCTCTTAAAGAACGGTCATGCCTTGATCACACACGGTCGTACCTAAGCAGCAATTTGCTTATGCACTATTGAACCACCTGTTAGACCTATTTTGGTTTGGTTATGACTTGAGTCATATCTTAACATGTTATGGTTAGTGTTCAATCAACTTTTTAAATAGTTTTGGCGCATAAAAACATATGAGAGGTCAACAAGAAGAATCTAGAAAAATCACAAATGCATATAGAAATAATTTGATCAACTAAAACATCATTTCCCTCAACAAAGAAGAGCCATTAATAGAACCATAGACCAACTTGGTAAGGGTGATGTAATTTTTTTTTTTTTTTCGTCATCACTGGGATGCAGTTAAATGTGGCCAAAGGCCATATAGGTGCTCATGAAAGGGCTCAAACCCCAAACCTTGTGAGAGTAAAACATAGACTTGACCATTCGAGTAAGATCTCATAGGTAAGGGTGATTTAAATTGAAATGGAGATTTTTTTTTTCTTTTTTAATCAAAAACTTAGCATCTAATGATTTATGTAGGAATGAATTTGCACAAAATTTCAACAAGTATATGTTATTGACTACATTTAGTGGGGTATGATAGGACTAGCAACCATTGGTTTTAGTTTTTGTATATACAACTTGGATTTCATACTAGAAGCTTATTCTCAGCATTCCGAAAGAAAGCACAAATCAAGCTATACCTATTTAGCCTTATCACAACTACATCCATAAGTAATAAGATTAAAACGTGTTTCACAATCTAATAAAAAAATTTGAACCCAGGTCTTGGATTGCAAAGAGAAGTCGAATACATATTCTAGAGGAAGATAGTATTATTAAAGATTAGAGTTTAGTACCTCAGGACTAACGAAATTGAGCCACCGAGGAAAGAGCAGAGGAGTCAGCTTTAATTTACACTTGTTTGCATATGCATACTGCAATGCTATATGTCGATTATCTTAAATAGATTATGATTCGGAATATTGTCTATTTATCATGTTGATTAACCATATTATTATTTTTGTGTAGTGTTATTACTATTTATTCATAGCCTTTTATTCTAGAATAATGCTACGGACACCGACGTTTTGCATCAAAATGTTAAACTGAACGACGTGTCACCTGAGTCAGACAAGTCACGTAACGCGTTAAGTAATATTTTGTGAATGAACAGCCGTCCATCAAATATGGACGGCCATCCATTTTTATTGGATGATCGTTCATTTGAAATAGATTCCCGTCTATATTATATGGATGAGAGTCCATTTACTATAAACGGGAGTCTACCTATAAGGACGCCCATTCATAGTTTAAATTAAAAAAATTTAATAAAAAAATCATGGACGCATATCCATATATTATGGACGGGCGTCCCTACTTAATGGATAAGTCCATTGTTTCAATTAAAAAGAAAAATTGAAAACAAAAGTAATCTCATTCTTTTAGCCAAAGTCTGTGAATATTCATGACACCTGTTTCTTTACTTTATTTTTTATTTCAGATGGTAGACCCCTTGACTTAATTGATGTATGCATGGCACCTGTTTCTTTACTTTATTTTTTATTGCAGATGGTAGACCCTTTGACTGTATTGATGTATGCAGTTCAAGTGATGAACTTCTATTTACTTAGTGTTTGTGTTTGAAAGTGAATAGAAATAGGAGTTTAGAAGAAGAAAATAGAAGGAACATTGAGGGAAAGAGGAGATTTTGTTGTAGAGCAGAGTCCCTATTTAATGGATAGAAATGTACGGCCATCCATCTAAGAGGGATGCTCGTCCATTACTTTTGTTTGTTTTTTTTTTTTTTTTTTATTAATTTAAACAATAAACGAGCATCCATCTAATAGGAACGCTCGTCCATTAAATAGGGAGTCTCGTCTATAATATATGGACGGGCGTCTATAATTTTTGTTATCAAATTTTTTTAATTTAAACTATGAACGGGCATTCTTATAGGTGGACTCTCGTCCAATAAGTAAGGACGCCCGTCTATTTCAAATGAACGGCCGTCCATTCATTCATACAATATTTTTTAACGTGCTATATGACTCATCTGACTCAGGTAATATGTCATTCGGTTTAACATTTCGGTACAAAACGTCGGTATCCGTGGCATTATTATTTATCCTGTGCAATCAACTTTGTCATTGATTGGTCAAGATTGTTTATGCTTTTGTGTTAAAAGAAAGAAAGATGGATATTTCTTTTGACCGGTAATAGTAAGGCCTTAGATTAAAAGTCACCCACAACTTTATTTTAATCATGGTTTACGCCATGATGAGAAGAATTCCATTTAAGAATAAATTCGCAAGTTTCTGGTCATATAATTCAGTTTGATTTAGCCAATTGCAGAGCTCAAATCTTAAGGTCTTTGCCTCTCGGTTTTAGGTTTCTTGAATCTGTTTCCGTAAGTTGGTCATCCGCAGGTAAGTTCTGCTTGTTGTCATGAGCTTTTATCATATTGAAAGGAATGTTAATTTCATCAATTTTGTGTGTATGACAGTTTGAAAATCATAAATTTTTAATTTCTTTTTTCATTGATTATTGATAGTGGATAGAGAAAGCAATGATGCAGAAAAGGGAGCATGCATCAATTGGTATCAAGGAGCTGGCGGATACATTGAATGGGAAGCTTAGCACCTTGCATCCTTTGTCCGGGAACAGTTGCATTTATAGAATTTCTCAACGAATCCGACAGTTAAACGAAAGCGCATGCACTCCTCGGACAGTTTCCATCGGTCCATTTCACCATGGCAAAGAGGAACTAAAAGCCATGGAAGAACAAAAACTGGCATTCTTACGAGATTTCCTTGAACGAACAGAGATAAGTATTATGGATTTTCTATTATATATAAAGGATAAAGAAGTAGAACTGCGTGAATATTATGCAGAAACCATTAATATAGGAAGTAATGAGTTTGTAGAAATGATGTTACTTGATGCAGCCTTTATCATTGAATTTTTACTAAAGCTCAGTATCTCCGGTGGAGGGCATTTTGCAGAGACATCTTATTCCACCGCTTTTGACATATGGCCTGACATATGGAAGCTAGAAAATCAACTTCCAATGTTCATGCTTAAGGGCTTGTTTGAGCTAGCCACGAACGGAATGTCTAATAACCTTTCCCTGTGCAAACTAATCCATAATTTGTTGATCAATTCAATTGGTTATTATCTAAAGAAGATAGAAGAAGATTTGGTCGAAATCCGTTTTTCTGAAGCGAAGCACTTACTCGATTGGTTAAGAGTTTGTCTTCAACCACCAGAGTTGCACTCACAAAATGAATTCAAAACTGCAACCACACCTACTATAACAGAACTTGAGCAAGCTGGAGTCAAGTTTAAGGTTGGTTCAAGCAAATATTTTTCTGATATCACATTCAAAAATGGGATTCTGGAAATTCCAAAATTGTTAATAGCTGCTGATACGGAAATCTTGTTCATGAATCTCCTAGCTTATGAGCAATTAAATTGCAGTACCAGATATTCGAATGACTACATTGTACTTATGAATCACCTTGTTCGCACTCGAAAAGATGAGGAAATACTCATTCAAAATGGAGTTATTGAAGATTATATCTGGGGTAAAGAAGGAGGGACAGCTGTTTTTCAGAAGCTTGGCCAAGAGAGTTTTACAAAGACTGCGTCGTTTTACTATACAGATCTTGTTGATCAACTAAACGCCTACTGTAGAACCCCGTGGAACAAGTGGAGGGCGGCCTTGAAACAAAATTATTTCAACACTCCATGGGCTTCTATCTCTGTCATTGCAGCTGTAATTCTTCTCGTTCTCACCTTCATACAAGCAGTTTGTTCTGTCATTGCGTTGTAGCTATTTCGAGATACCTTTGCAAGGATTTCATTTATATGCCAGTTTAATATGAGAATTAATTAAGAGAGGATGATTGTGTAAAATGGCTGCTTGTTTATTTTTACCACTGTGTATGATTTTACAAATGTTCTGAGTGATGAATTGCTTTACGCTTTTGTGGGAGAGGTGAAGCTTGGTTAAGAATGTTATACATACGCCTTCATTTATTTGATATTAGAATAAAAAATGGGTAGCTGAAAATAGTTATTGGAACAGAAGTTCTGTTTAAAGTTTAATTAATGAATTTCCTGGTTTTCGAGCAATTACACTGCAAGACCAACAAATTAGTTCAATCACTCAGTTATGTACCTCATTTCAAGAGCTCTGCACCAAATTGTTCGAGGTATGTGAAAGGAAAGAATCAAAATGAAGTTAACTAAACGAAAGAAAATCATTGGTGCAGGAAATTTTGAAAATTCTTTTAATTTCATTAGTGCAGATAAATGAATTGGAATTACTTGAAAGAAAATTATTGATCATTGATAAGATAGAAATATGATTTCTTTGAAATTAGCACAGAGTTTTGGGATAAACAAAAATTAACCCTTAAATATAATTTCAGGAAAATGATTTATCGGATTAAATTGGTCACTAATTCAGTGAGAAAAGTAATAGATATAAGGGAATTCTTTTACTGTGAAACTATCTTGGATTCAGGCCTGTGAATCTTTAATAGAAAGGTTTGACTGGGGTAAATTTTTGAGATTTTATGATTCGTTAGTTTAAACTAAAGCTGTGTTTTTATGTGTGTGCAGTGGAAGTTCTGATGAGACTTTTGTCTTCAATCAAACACTGAATTGAATCCAGAGTTTCATTTCAGTGTTGTGGTTAAACATTTAGCAATGAATGACAATGGTGGCGCCAAGTTGACAGGAATACGACAGATGGTTAAGCTGAAAGAAATCCTCCAAAAGTGGCAATCTGTATCTCGTAGCCCCAAATCAAGCAACTCTCATTCTAGTCCAAGTGGTGGGGAAATTTCACCAGTAATTAACAAAATGCTGACAAATATTATGTGTTGCGATTCAGATGAGGATATAAAAAGTGGGGATAATTTCAGATTTTTTAGATTACGAATGTCTAAGTTAGCCTTAATTGCTGCGTCAAAATGTCCAGTTAGTACACAAAAATTGTCATGTCAGCGATTATTTCCAGAAAAAATGACATGTCATCAATATTTAACGCCGTAAAAAAAAAATATAAAAGTTTGATACCTTTAATAAGAAAAACTTAAAGTCCGGTACCTTCAATAGAAAGAATTGATAGTTTGGTACCTTAACAAGAAAAAAAATAGTTTGTTACCTTCAATAGGAAAAAAGTAATAGTTAGGTACCTTCTAATGTAATTAAGCCTTCTATCTTCATCAAGAACTTCTACTTCACCTATCGTATCCTCCTTAGGATGATCTTCAATAACTTCTTCCTCCACAAGTGAAACAATTCTTTGATTTGGATAATCAGAAGTGACATCTTCAAAACTTTGACACTTGAAAAATTTTCTTGAAGTGACATTAAGAGTACGACTAGAATCACCCTCTTTATCATTTCTATAAGGAGACTTGAAAGAGTTTACTTTAGGATTTGAAAGGGGTACTGAGCTTTGTTTCCCATGGCTTGTTATAGTCTCCCTCTGTCTAGTGGAATTTATAGTGTTCTTTCATGCACGCTGCTTCTCAACCTTAATCATTAGTTGGATAATATCAATCAGACTCCAATATGGTTGTAACTATATGACATCCGCAATCTCCATGTTAAAACCTCCCAAATAAGAGTCATAGTTTGCTCTTCAGGTTCATGGATATCGCACTTCAGAAGAAGTTGCTAGGATGTGCAAAAATACCCTAGCAACCAAAAATGTTTTAAACTTAACAAAAATAGCCCTACCCACCCCAAGCCACTACTGACAACCAGCCACCACTGTGGGCAGTCGCCAGCAATGCCACAGGTCTGGTCGTGATGCCGATAGTGCCATAACGGTCATATTTTTCAGATCTAGGTTAACTAGAACGGTCATTCCACCGTGCCATATGATCGTGTAAGACCACTGTACCGTCATTCCACCATGCGGAACAATCACATCCAGATGTTCTTCTAAATCTTCTTAAATTTCTAGAAGAGTGAACTACCTCTTGAAACGATGTCGTGCAAGACTTCTTTAGATATGAACGGTCATTCCACCACAAGGAACAATCATTGCAATTTTGATCTTTGAGTTTTGACCTTGACCTTTGAGATTAAGTCAAGAGCGCGAAGTGTTTTGAATTTGAATTATCTTGACTTTTGAACTTAGGCGCATGGTATTGCAAGTGCCACTTGAAATTGGCAACGTGTCTAACGACCAAGAGGAACGATGTCGTGCAATGTTGCACGACCACTTTCTCTTAAAGAACGGTCATGCCTTGATCACACACGGTCGTACCTAAGCAGCAATTTGCTTATGCACTATTGAACCACCTGTTAGACCTATTTTGGTTTGGTTATGACTTGAGTCATATCTTAACATGTTATGGTTAGTGTTCAATCAACTTTTTAAATAGTTTTGGCGCATAAAAACATATGAGAGGTCAACAAGAAGAATCTAGAAAAATCACAAATGCATATAGAAATAATTTGATCAACTAAAACATCATTTCCCTCAACAAAGAAGAGCCATTAATAGAACCATAGACCAACTTGGTAAGGGTGATGTAATTTTTTTTTTTTTTTCGTCATCACTGGGATGCAGTTAAATGTGGCCAAAGGCCATATAGGTGCTCATGAAAGGGCTCAAACCCCAAACCTTGTGAGAGTAAAACATAGACTTGACCATTCGAGTAAGATCTCATAGGTAAGGGTGATTTAAATTGAAATGGAGATTTTTTTTTTCTTTTTTAATCAAAAACTTAGCATCTAATGATTTATGTAGGAATGAATTTGCACAAAATTTCAACAAGTATATGTTATTGACTACATTTAGTGGGGTATGATAGGACTAGCAACCATTGGTTTTAGTTTTTGTATATACAACTTGGATTTCATACTAGAAGCTTATTCTCAGCATTCCGAAAGAAAGCACAAATCAAGCTATACCTATTTAGCCTTATCACAACTACATCCATAAGTAATAAGATTAAAACGTGTTTCACAATCTAATAAAAAAATTTGAACCCAGGTCTTGGATTGCAAAGCGAAGTCGAATACATATTCTAAAGGAAGATAGTATTAATAAAGATTAGAGTTTTGTACCTCAGGACTAATGAAGTTGAGCCACCGAGGAGAGAGCAGAGGAGCCAGCTTTCATTTACACTTGTTTGCATATGCATACTCAATGCTATATGTCAATTTTCTTAAATAAATTATGATTCGAAATATTGTCTATTTATCATGTTGATTAACCATATTATTATTTGAGAATTTTGTGTATTGTTTTTTTTTTTTTTTTTTTTTTGGATTAAGCCCATTATCAAAGCCCAAGTATGATTCAAGAAATAAGTTAGCCCACACCCTTTAAAAGAGCGGTGGAGATTTAGCCAAATGATTAAATGATAGCTAAGTGTTTAAATGAGTGATCATAGTTTGGCCAAGTAGTCACTTTATAACTAAGTGAAATGATTGATGAAGATTTAGCCAAATGACTAAATGAATGGTCATGGTTTGGCCAATTGGCCAAGTGAAATGTGTGCTATAGTTTGCTCTTGAAGGCTATAAATAAGAGGCATTGGTTATGGATTTAATTATCCCAAAAAGAAAAGAAAAGAAAAGAAGAAAAAAAAACTTGAGAACTCACCTTCTCTTGTTTCTTCTTCTTTTCCCGTTTGTCTTAGTATTCTCTTGCTTTGAGCAAATAGAGTTTGTATTCTCCTATTTCAAGAGAGAATTGTCATTTGTTTTTCTTATTGTATTTAGAGAGAGTGTGTTGTAATTCATATATTTATAATAGTGAAATCCTCTTACACTTGCCCGTGATTTTTCTATCAATTTGTTTGAGAGTTTTCCATGTAAATTGTTCGTGTCTCAATTTTATTTTGTTGTGTGATATTGTTTTAACCTTTTATTCCCTAACATTATTAGTATTTATTCATAGCCATTTATTCTATGCAATCAACTTTGTCATTGATTAGTCAAGATTGTGTATGCTTTTGTGTTGAAATCAAGGGTGTAATCTGAGCCGAGCTCGAGTAGCTTGTGTGTCGAGTCGAATTGACTTCGAGTTTCACAATACTCAGCTTGAGCTCCGATTTATAAAATTTTAAATAAATTAAAATAATTTACTGCATTTTTAACTTACTATTAAAACCAAATATTTGAAACCCATTCCATTACAAAGAAGAAGAAAAAATAGAGTAATACTACAAATACAACATATTCATACAATATTTCTCATATAATATGATATGGCAAAAGATGATAGGGTGAACGTTTATTTTTAATTTAAAATCAGCCAATTATCTTTTGCTATGTCACGTTGTATGAGATATGTTATATATATATATAATCATGCAAAAATATAAGAAACAAAACCAATTTGGAAGAAGAAAAAAGAAAGAGAAAGAAGACTTGTTGAAAACTTCTCGTGGTAGCCCATGGGTAGCGACAAACTTCAACCTGTAAAGGATAATTAAGAGAGATGAGCAAATGAAAGAGAGGGAAAGATAAGAAAGGAGTAAATCAAAGATAAGAAGAGATGTGGAAGACTAAAGAAAGGTGGAGGCATACTGGGTTGTGGTTGTAAGAGGTTTATATATTGGGTAATACCATGCTCACAAACTTTTCCCATTAACTTTCTCTCACAAACGCGACGTAATAGTTTATAATTGATCAGCTTACAATGGCTTACCCAACCCATGGGTCTTGTCTAACCAATTACAAACTGACCAATTGCGAATTACCACGTCGTGTTTGTGTGAGAAAGTTAATGAGAAGAGTTTATCAGCCTGTCTTTATTGTTATATATTTTGTGTTGTTTAGATGTAGGTTATGATTAACTTTACAAAGTAAAGATAAGGCGGGATTGTGTATAGATGAGTACATTATATACGTTTTAAGTCTTCCAATAATAAACAACCACCTCCAAAACATATAAGGGACGTTTGGTTGGAGGTAATCTAAGATTACTAGGGTTTTGTC